GGCGTGGTAGCGCACGCCTGTAGTTCCAGCTATGTGGAAGGCTGAGGCGGAAGGATCGCCAGACCCCAGCAGGTCGAGGCTGCGGTGGCCAGGAGCGGCCGCTGAACTCCAGTCTGGGCGACAGAGTGAGACTCCAACTCAAAAAACAACAAAAAACCAGAGGGCATGCGATTCCAACCCTTCCCTGCTACCATGGCCCTGGCATCACTGACATCATGTCCAATTAAGAATTCAGAGAAGCCGGGCTCAGTGGCTCAGCCTATAATCCCGGGCCTTGGGAGGCTGAGGTGAGTGGATTGCCTGAGCCCGCGGGTCTCGCCCGCGGGTTCGAGACCTACCTGGGCAACTTGGCGAGACCTCATCTCTACGATACATCAAAACATCAGCCGGGTGTGGTAGCGTGCGCCTGTAATTCCGGCTACTGGGAAGGCTGAGGTGGAAGGATCGCCGCAGCCCAGTAGGTCGAGGCTGCAGTGGTTGGGAGCAGCCACTGCACTCCAGGCTGGGCGACAGAGTGAGACTCCAACTCAAAAAAAAAGAAAGAACTCAGAGAACAGTTCCTTTCAGTGGAAAAAGCACTAACCTAGAAGTTGAATATGGGCTATAGTTGGAGTTTTGCTACAAATCATTGTGTGATCCTGACCAATTCCTTTTTCCATCTTCTTTCCTCATCTAGAAAATGAGAAGGTTGGATTAAATTAGTAGTTTTTGGGTAAATTCTTTGGGTCCCCTCCTGCTGTGGGAGCTTTCCTGTCTTCTCAATAAATCCTGCTTTCTAAAATAAATAAATAAATTAGTAGTTTTTAAATTAAGAAATCCTTAAGATTCATTCAGAGTGTGAATGTCCCTGAGATCTTATACTGGAGAGTGGAAATAGGGAGAGAGGCACAGCAGTGTAGGCTCTAGCACCTTACCCTTCTTTGATCAAAGTAGCTCTGCTTTTTTCTGTTTTATATTGTGTGACCTAATAAAGGAAAAAAAAAACCCACTTATTTGAAAACTACCAAACTAGTTGACCACTCAAGGCTTGTGCTATATCAATTTTCTCTGAAGCACTTAAAGACAGTGCTCTTCCCCCATCTCCACCCCCATAAGCAGTGAGAAAGTAACAGTTGTCTAGATATTTGATCATTCTCATTTGATTAAGAAGGAGGAATTTTGCTTAGTGGTTAAGAAATCTGTTAGAAATGCTGAATAATATGATAATGCTTGTGAAGCTTTTAGCACCTTATCTTGCATGTGTTTAATAAATGTTAACCACAGTTACAGACTGGCTTGGAGAAAGGGAAACTTTTTTTTTTTTGAGTTGGAGTCTCACTCTGTCGCCCAGGCTGGAGTGCAGTGACACGCTCATAGCCACCACAGCCTCGACCTGCTGGGTTCAGGCAATCCTTCCGCCTCAGCCTTCCAAGTAGGTGGAACTACAGGCACACACCACCATGCCCAGTTAAATTGTTGATTTATTGTAGAGATGAGGTCTCACCAAGTTGCCCAGGCTAGTCTTGAACCCATGGGCTCAGGCAATCCTCTCACCTTGGCCTCCCAAAGTTCTGGGATTATAGGCATGAGCCTGGCCTAGGGAAACTTTTTTTTGTGGTTTGATGTTGTAAATTAGTAGTGAAGGGGTGCATATTGGGTATGTCATAATGTCCTGAAGATGCCCAATTAGATCTCCATGCCTGTCTGGTAATCATTACCTACAAATAGGACAAGAAGCATAACACTACCAAAAATGGATTTGCTGCTCCCTACCCCCTGAATCCAGCAGCTAAAACTGGTGATCCTTGCCTGAGCCCGCGAGTTTGAGACCTCATCCCTACAATAAATCAAAAAATCAGCCGGGCGTGGTAGCGCGCACCTGTAGTTCCAGCTACTTGGAAGGCTGAGGCGGAAGGATCACCGGAGCCCAGCAGGTTGAGGCTGTGGTGGCCGGGAGCAGCCACTGCACTCCAGCCTGGGTGACAAAGTGAGACTCTAACTCAAAAAAAAAAAAAACAAACTGATGATCTTCCCTTTTCAAAAAGAGAAGAAGGTGGCAAAGGTATACTAGTATGAGGAGGTTTCAGGCCATCCTAAATCAGATGGATTCTATATGCCCTTAAACTTGAGAGGCAAGGGAGTCACCAAAACCATGGGATAAACTAAAGGTCCAACTCTGGAACCTCTAGCCAGCTCACCTATTCCAGGCAGCAGTGTGCCCACAGAAGGTTGGATCCTGAAGGAGCTACTTGTGCTCTGCAGCCAATGGACCTGATCAGAGACATCCATCAGGTGCCTGAATATACAAAGGAAGCTTTTCCGGTTTGAGGAGGCTACACAGCCTGCTCCAGAAGATGGACAGCTAAAGGTAGGGTGCCCCCTGGACTCAGGGGTGCAGGGCTAAGTTCTAGAGGTACTACTCAGAGATATCAGAGTGCCATGAAGTCAGAGTGTCTGATGAGAGTGAGGTGCTAGAGCACTGTAGAGGCTAACTGGACTGAAGAGGGGAACCACGAATTATGGGTCTACTTAGGAGCAGAGTCTAGGACCAAGAGTCCTGGACGAGATTTGGGAAGCTGAGGTCTCTTGCAGTTTTCTGGGACCTCAGCATCCTCTCCCTTCGTCTTCTGAACCTCGCCTCCTTTCTTTTCTAGACTTGACTCATGTACTTCTCTAGAACAGTTAAAAAAAAGTTTAGCATTGTAAACTCTAATATTACCATGCCAATGTACCCTCCATTTACACCCCAAGGAACACTTCTGGATGAATTTTTCTGTGACTGTATCACTTGAAGAACTAACTTAGGACTCCAAAGCACACACTGAGAATACTTCTGTGCAAGGTTTTTGCTTAAGGTCACTGACCACGCATCAAACATAATTCCCACTGTCAAATTCAGTCTCTGTGTTTTGTGAAAGAGAAGCTGTGGTCCCAAAAGGTGTAGGATGGAGGTGCCAGGAGAGAATGACTAGCCGAAAAAGTGAGAGGGTAACTGGGAAGGAAATAAGGGAAGAGAAATCGGGATCTCCGAGGCAGTTCACCAAGAGAAGGAAGTATAAAGTGGGTGAGGTGGTACAGCCTGTAATCCTAACTCCTTGGAGGGGGAGGATCATTTGAGCCCAGGAGCTCAGGACCAACCCGAGCAAACATAGCAAGACCTTCCATCGCAGAAAGAGAGAGAGAGGAAGGGAGGGAGGGAGGCAGGGAGGAGGAGGTAGTTGT